GAGAGCTTCATTAATTTAAAAGTGTAAAATAAATAAATAAAAAAAGTACAACTGAAAAATGTACAACCAATTGTATGGAGAATTAAACTAAATCCAATTTTGTAAGATGCAATAAATATTTATTAGATTTTATATGTAAAATAAAATAAAAAATAACTAGAATAATTTTACGTGTTGCAATATTTTATATTTAAAAAAATAAGAATCTTCTTTTACGTATTGCATACCAACATTTTAGGAACTACATGAATATTCTTAAATTAATATTGCATACCCAATATTTTAGGAACTAATTAAATGCTAATTTGATTTGCATACCCAAAATATTAGATGTATTAATTAAATGCTTGATAAAAATAGCAAATCATTAATTAGGGTTGACTATTCTACATACTACATTTAGTAAATAGTATAGCTATAAGTATAAATATCCGGTTCTACTTCAGGCAATGCTTGATTGTGTTATTTTTGTTACCAATGTAAGAATTAATTGATTTTGCACTGATTTTACGGTTGCTTTTTGTAAATGGAAAACTAATAGCAAAATCTCATTTGCACTAATTCTATAGTTGAAATGGGGGAAAATTGAGTTTATATAACTCAAAGATTGTTGAATTTGCAAATGTACTATATTTGTTAAATGTTTGGATAAGTCAAACAAGTTATAATCATGCATTATGCATACTAGAACTCTAGAAGAGTTCTTTAGGGACGAGTAAGAATAGACGAAACACGACACCGAGTCCGAACAAGCGCGTACGAACTCCCGACGAGCAGACGCGTGTTGGGCCCCATCACGGCGAGAAGGTCGTCGGGGGCGCGGTGCCTATATCAGCCCACCAGTTGGCGCGACAAGCACACAACCCGAAAATACTTGCTCATGTCGTGAAGGTTCCTATTCAATTTGGACGATGAGGCATGTCCCGAAAAGTGCCTTTTGATGCCATAAATTCCTTAGAGATGTCCATGAACATCTATGAAATGGCCATATAATTTAAAATTCATGTAACACTAGAGAGCTTAACATAGAGATAAAAAAATTGAGATAAACATAAGCTAGTTTGTGTTCATCTTGTGTTAATTATTATTTATCCACTTATTAAGAGTTCTAAACACAAGTAAGTTTGTTGAAACATTGTGTATTTTGAATTGTCATTATACACAAGATAAAAGTTGTATCTTATAGACGTTTGTCGAAAATCATGCGCCTTAATCGGTGAAAATTCAGTCTTATGAAAAATGTGTTTCACGTGCCTTGACTTTGTTTATAATTTGAATTGTTTGTTTTAATTTGTTCGAGGATCGTATTTGCAGTTTGTCATCATCCTTCCTTCGCGTTGTTCTTTATCATTCTCCAAAAAACAAGCATCTACACCAACACCCAACAAACATCTTCACAAAGAAGCTCAATCATAGTAGAAGTAGAATTGTTGACATCTGATAAGCTCGCCTCGGCTCATTAAGGCTCGTCATGTTTGAAAAATAGTGTGTTTTCAGCTTTCACATAATATTCTTATCTTTTAGCATAATTCAACATGCTAAAAAGGACGAACTCAAGCTCGTCTACCGAATCACGAATTCAATGTGCCGAGTTCAACTCAACTTAATAAAGGTTCGAGTCTGAACCCGAGTATCAAGAGCTCTAGCTGGTCTACATTTTAAGTAGAAGCAAATATACCGGCCAGTTGGCAAGGCTTTAGGACGCAAGTCTTAGTTCATATGTTAACAGGCAAATAACAAGTCTTTTGATTTACTACATTACATAAATGGCAATTAATTCACAAAGCACACAACTAAAAGAAAAAATCTCACAAATCACAAATCGCCCGCCCTTTATTCTCCACAACTACTAACTACTGATTAAAGCAATCCCGCAGTACAATCTGAGCTCCATGCTGCGGCTGGAGTGTCATGACAGTGTAGGGAGCATGTGCGTACGAGGCCGACAGCTCGAACGAGAATTGCTTCAGCATCACGGCCAGCGCAACCTTAGCCTCGACCATCGCAAAGTTCTGCCCGACGCACGTCCGTGGGCCCCACCCGAACGGCATAAACGCCGCCAGCTGGCCCCTGCACGCCTTCGAGATTCCCTCCGCAAACCTCTCGGGGTTGAACTCCTCGGCTTCGTGGCCCCACAGGTCGGGGTCCCGGTTGACGAGCATTATCGGGAGTAGGAGATCTGTCCCGGCCTGGATTGCGAGGTTCCCTATTTTCGTGTTCTTGTGCGCGTGTTGGTAGAGTGCAATCACCGGTGGATACAACCGCAAGACCTCGTTTAGGATCATGTTCACCTACAGCAGCAATTATTTATATCAATCGCGTGA